AAGGGACCGAGAGCCGGGGAGGGCGCGAACATCGGCCCCAACAAGTACCATCATGGTTGGCATTAGGCGGGGTGTAGGGGAGGTGGAGCCCCAAGAAGAGGTTGCCACGAGGATGGCCAAGGGAAAGAACCAGGGGGACAGGATCAAATATCGTCCTCCTGACTTAAAGCCCCTTATCAAAGACATGGCAGGAGAGACCCCTGGGGATCTGACCCAAGGCCACTCCCACTAGCCTGGCTGTGCAGCCCAAGAATCCATGGCGAGATTCTTAAAGAATCCAAATTCATGACACTCAGGAGAAAGGCATGGGAAGTTGCATTCTCCCTAGTCATTTGTCCAAGTTTCCACTTTTTATAAGCTTCCTTTTTTGTTATTTAGTTTACTGATTAGTTCTCTGCTAAGTCAAACTGCTCTTCCGCCAAACTTGCTAGTCTTCCTGCACATCAGGATGGTTTGTTCCTGCACTCTCAGTAAAGCTTCTATAAAGTACAGTCAGCTCTCCTAGGCCCCTCTCCCCCTCAGACTGGCTTCCCAGGGGATCCTAACCATGAGTTCCCTGAGATAGTCAAAGTCTGCTTTTCTGAAGTCCAGGGTCCTTACTCTGCTGCTCTCCATCCTTCCTTTCCTCAGGATCCTGAACACAATCATCTTGTGGTCACTGCTGCCTAAGTTGCCATCTGCTACTACTTTCCCCACCAATTTTTCCCTGTTTGTGAGCAGCAGGTCAAGAAGGGCACAGCCCCTAGTTGACTGCTCTAGCATTTGCACCGGAACATCACCCTTGTTGCTCTCTCCTCTGGCCCTAACCCAGAGACTTTCAACAAACCTATCTCCAGTTTCATACTGGAGATGTGAGAAATCATATGGCTCTTTTACATTAATTGCAACTCCTCCTCTTCTTCTCCCCTGCCTGTTTATACCCATCCATGACATTGGGTCAGTCATGTGAGCTCCCATCAAGTCTCTATTATCCCAATCACATCATAGTTCTGTGACTCTGCAAGGACTTCCAGTTCTTCCTGTTTGTTTCCCAGGCTCCGTGCATTTGTGCACTGGTATCTAAGGTAACTATTTGATTGCCCTTATTTCTCAGGAAGAATGAGAACACCTCCCCTGTTGCCCCTTCCTGGTTTCTCTTCCTCCAGGTCACCCACTTCCCCACTTACCTCAGGGCTTTCATCTCCATCTCCTGGTGAACTTAGTTTAAAGCCCTCCTCACTAGGTTAGCAAGCCCATCTGCCAAGATGCTCTTCTCTCTCTTCATCAGGTGAATCCCATCTCTTCCCAGCAATCCTTCTTCTTGAAACATCATCCCATGGTCAAAGAAGCCGAATGCCTGCTAGCAACACCACTTGTGCAGCCAGGCATTGATCTGCAGGATGCACCCGCTCCTGCCTAGGCCCTTTCCCTTGACCAGAAGGATTGAAGAGAACACAACCTGAGACCCTATCCCCTTCACCCTTGCACCCAGAGCTCTGTAGTCCCTTTTGATCTGTTCATGTTCTCCCCTGGCAGTATCATTGGTGCCCACATGGATGAGCAGCATGGGGTAGTAGTCAGAGGAATGGATGAGTCTTGGTAATCCCTCCATGACATCATGGATCTGAGCCTGAGGCAAGCAGCAGACTTCCCAAGACAACAGGTCAGATTGTCAGATAGATCCCTCCATCCCCCGCAGAAGGGAGTCTCCAACCACCACCACCCATCACTTCTTTTTGGTGGTGGTTGTCATGATCCTTCCTACTTGGGGAAGCGTGACATGTCCTCCTCCACCAATGGAATGTGCTCCTCACCTTCTATGCTAGGGCTCCATATCTGTTCTCCAGACAAACTGTTGTAGGTGGAGATGAAGATTTCTGCTTGCTGCCAGAGGTCACAAGTTTCCATCTTGAACCTTCCTGGGAGTTCATGACCTCTCTTCTCTAGCACTGCCTCTGGCAGTTTTTCCTCCACAGTCCTGGAGGTCTCCTCCAGCATCGAATTGATGAACTCCATTTGGTTGAGGATGCTTTGGAGCCTTGACACCTCCTCCTGCAGCTCTCTTTCATGTTCCCTGGGAGACACCACCAGGAGGCATCGTTCACACTACAGGCACTCCCTGACCTAGCCATCAGTGGAAGGAACCTGCAAGCTGCAGTTCCTACAGCACTGAAACTGGACCTGGGTGGAATCCTTGATGGTGAGCAGTTCTGCTGGGACAGAAACCTCAAAGGTGCAAGCAGAGGAATTGGCAGTGGCTCTGGTATTACAAAGTCCTCCAGCCATTTCCCTGGGTCTCTTAACCAGCCTCTTCTCTCTTACTGCTCTTCTTTTAAGCACATCTTTCCTAGTGAACTTGCCTGGAAGCTGGTCTATGTACTGCTCCTTGGCCCCAAAGGGTTCCTTTTTCTCTTCTTCCTCACACCAAGCTGAGAGGCTCTGCCCTCAAAGTGCAGTAGGGGCACCAAACTGACTTGTGAACTGCTTGCAAACTGCTTACCCTGTTCATTGGCTCCCTTGTCGCCTGGGGAGTCTCCTTTTATACTCTGCTGGACCTGAACTGGCTCTACCCTCTCATTAGGGCTTCTGTCAGGAACAGGCAGCAATCATTCAGCAATCACTCAGTTAGCAACACCCCTAGCTTCTCAGAGCACATGCCCCAAACACACACAGCCCATTAGACAAACACTCAGCAAACCAAAGTGACAGGCATCTCTGGATCATTTACCTTCCCCAGGTAGGATCTGGTGCCTGGCTTCTCTTCCCTTTCCTCCTCTTGCTCCCAGCAAACTGCCTGCAAGCTGCTTACCCTTGTTGCTGCCTCTGTTCTCTGGCTCCCTGATTGCCTGGGAGTCTCGTTTTATACCCTGGTGGGCCTGAACTGGCTCCACCCCCTCTTTAGGGCTTCTCTCAGGCACTCACCCTGTTATCAAGAAAGCCTAGATTGTGAGTTTCCTGTGATGGAGTTTCCTGTCTATCAGGGCCAGACAGCCCCCACAGCAGTCATCAGAATCTGTCTGTCTACTTTATCTAATCACTGCCCCCACAGTCTACTTAATATAAAACTCTATGGGTGACATTTTATTCTTTCCTGGTCATCAAAGTGGCCATTTTTCATGATCTACAGGTAATTTTCTGTACTTAAATGCCCAGAGGAATTCTGTCCCAGGTGTGTAGCCCTGCATGTATGGAAAACTTCAAGGTAAAGCAAATTAGGTGCACACAATAGGGTCTGGATCCCATATATATGTCCATGGTGGACACAGAGATCATAGATGCCTGAAAATGGAGTTGGCTGGAAACCATGATGTGGCCTTAGGAACAGGGTGTGACAGAGGTAGTAGGGCAAGTGGCTGCAAGCCTAGTGGTCACTTGCTGCAATGTGGGTGGGGCAAACATCAGTGGCAGCTGGTCAGGCAGCCACAGGGTGAATGGTGGCATGCCAAGCAGTGGTGGTTCCAATCAACACAGAACTTGCCCACCTGCGGGCTGCGGTGCCTGTGTGCAATGGGACCCCAGAAACACAGATTCCATGGAAAGCCCCATACCCTGATAGCTCCACCCTCAAATTCTCTGGCTGGCCAGTATCCAGGTAGGCTGGATGAAGCAACTCTGCAGGCTGGATCCAACTCACAGGCTGTATTCTGACACCCCAGCCCTAGGCATGTAAGTTCCTAAAATGCCCTGTAGATGACCAAAAAATGGCCACTTAGATGACTGAGAATGAATCAAATGTCATTTTTCCTGGTCTGCAGCTGAGCAAAGTAGGTGTGCTTTAAAAACTGATGATTGTTTAAGTCAAAACTGTCTGCAGGAATACAGAGGCAAGGTTTGAGAAGAATCATAGAACCACAGAATCATTGAAAATTACAGTTGGAAGGGACCTCAGGAGGTCATCTAGTCCAATCTCCCCCTCAAGGCAGTGCCATCCCAACAAGATCACCACTGCAAGTCTTAGTCTAACTAAGTACCAAATCAATGCACAGTAACTGGTGCTACTGTGCAGTAGCGCCGGCACACAGCTTTTTAGTGATGCTAACTGTACAGTAGCCTAATACTACTGTGCAGTAGCATATTAGAATGGGTTTTGCCCTTCATGATACTGCACAGTATAATTAGACTACTGTGCAGTTAGCGTCTCATGTAGACACACCGTTTGAGCCCAAAGCTCCATCCAGTTTTCTATCCACCTTACAGTCTATTCATCCAACCCATACTTCCTTAGCTTGCTTGAGAGTTCTGAATGGTAGTTATATTCAAAAGCAGAACAAATCCTGCTCAATAGAGAATCCAATGGTTTGGGGGCTCTCTAGGTAAGTAGAAAACAGGGTTGTGTCCCCATTCTGTTTGCTCCAGAGCAGTTTATTTGTATGCCAGTCCCACATTCCTTAATTAGTAGGGAATTCTCACTTTCCCTTTTTCAAAGGGATCTATTTAGTATCAAGGCATGTGAACTTTGACTTATCATATTCATAGTGAATATCCATGCAACTGGGCTATCAGCTAGTTTGGGCTGTGTTTATCCTAGGACAGAACAGGAAAGAACTTCCTGCCCAGCTCCACCTAAAAGTGCTCTCTGCCACTGGATGTACAACCCTTTCAGGGTCAAGAATAACCACCTGGAACCTGGCTCTCAGGGCAAGGTGTGAAGGGCTTGTACATCTCAGTATACTAAGCGGAAGGTTGTAGGTTGGTTCAAGATAAGTGAGAGGAGGCCTGATACAGAAAAGGCCAGGAACCACAACACTCCCCATCTCACATTTCTGAGGAGAGCCACATCAGCTGAAGCCAAGCATGGTGTCCACAAATGCCCTCCCCCATAAATAAATCAATTCTTGTTTTTGCCGAATACTTTTTTTTTCCTATCAAGTTGAGCCATTTCACTGCCTAGTGCAAAGGACTGTTTTAAATTGGGGTTACAATAGTCAGTGATATATTCTTGAGGAAGCCACACATGTCTCTGCAAACTAGGACTCAGAATAGCACAAGCTGTAGAAAGAGTCAAAGGTGTTTATGAGCCAACATCTTTATTAGCAATACAATAGTGTACATGACCACGAAGCATCAAGCTTTGTGCTCAGATGCATTTGTACATTTTTGTTTAAAAATAAATCATCTTAATTTATCTCAAACACAATTTAAATACGATAAACTGTTCTGCTTAACAAAACCATCTTTAAATATAATGTTAAAATACCTAGGAAGAATTAAATACGATTCAGTGGTTTCTCTGAAAGGAAGGATGGCTGCTGTCAAAATCCCAAAGCATTAAGGATGGCTGTCATTAACTGTTGTAGTGAGGGTCTGGTCAGTTTTGCTTTAGGTCTTTCATGTAGTCCTGGACCCATTGTGCTTTGGGATCAGCACAGATTTCCCGGCCTCTCTTAGTGGTGAAGCTGCAGAGAGAACAAACTTAGTACAGGCAACCCCTGCTTCACGCAGTTTCACTTAGCGCTGTTTCGCTATAGCACTCATTTAAAGTTCATACCTGATTCCTCTTAGCACTGAGCCAATTTCATTATAGCGCTCAGTGAAGTGGCGGTGAGAAGCAGTGAGTAGCAGCAAGGGGGTGGATGGGCGTGTGTGTGGGGCCACAGGGTAGGGGTTTGCAGGGGCCCAGGGTGGAGTGGCAGGAGCACAGGGCCCAGGCTGGCACATGGTGCCAGAGCAACTGGTGGGCAGGGGGATGGGGAGAAGTGACGACAGTGAGAAGCAGCGAGTGGCAGGGCAGGCATGATTGCCGGGCCCCTGCCAGTGCCTGAGGCAGGGGCCCAGGGCAGGGTGGCAGGAGCGCAGGGCACAGGCTGGCACATGGGGCCAGAGCAGCCGGAGGGTGGGAGGGGTGTGGGGAGAGGCAGCAGTGAGAAGCTGCGGCAAGAAGTGGTGGTAACCAATTATCTCTATTTACATTCATTCCTATGAGGAAATGGGTTTCTCTTAACACGGTTCAACTTAATGCTTGGTTTTTCTGGAACCAATTAAGAGCATTAAGCGGAGGTTGCCTGTACAGATTCTACACAGTGGGCAGAAAGAAAATAGATCCCCTACCCCCACAAGCTATAGCAGTTGTTTGTGCATGACCAGACAGAATCAGTGTTGCCAACACTTCTGACAGCTCTGTGAGTGTTATTTGATGATATAGAAATCCAGTAGGAACCTAGCTTCTTTCTACTGTAGAGAAGGTGTTCTTTTCTGGGCTCAAAAACACTAGATCTGACCCTGGTGAAATGTGTGGAAGCAGCCCTCATCATTCCTACCTCGTATACCCACTGGGATGTCATCTCATTGCTACAGCCTCTCCTCTTCCTCATCCTAAGTCTTCCCCATAGGAATGAGGGCTGGTTATTCTCATCTGCAGTACGATGCAATATGGATTTCTCAGGTTGCATCCCCAGCAGATGTAGCTATGCCAGGTGGCACCAGTTGTGGATCCAGGCCCAGGTGTCCCTAGCAGACTTCTCAAGATATCCTTGCTTTTCTCTCTCGGCTTTTTTGTCCTCTGGGGCCTGACTTCAAGGGAACTGTGGGATATTTCTTCCTAAGCCAGCACTACTCCTTCATGAGTGCTCTAATTGCCCAGAAGACTGAAAGCAATGTGGATGCAAGAAGACCATCCCTCAAGTAAGAGCGAGTCCTCAAGTAAGGATCTTCTACATGGGAATTCAAAGCATCAGCAGTCATCTGCAGCTGCCCAAGCTTTGTATTGCTGAAATAACAAGGGCCACAGGGAAACTTGGAAAAATATTAAATAAGTCTTAAAAAAAAAAATTAAAAAGTGTTCTGTTTAAGGAGCTAAAGATACAGACCTCATCTGTATTACAGGTTATTCACATGCACATCCTATGGATATTTGTCTGGATTTCCTGTGGATATTTCTCTACATGGTTGTACAGTTTGCCTTTACATGGTTTTACCATTTCTCTGCATGGTTGTACAGTTTACCTCTGAAAAAGCATACTCACATCACTGCTGGCTGGGAGCACATGCTGCTAGGGACCTTGTAGGAAAGTAAATGGACCTGTGGGATCTTCTTGGATGCATAAGAGAAGCAGCAGAGGGTTGGAGTGTTAGGTCCATCTGGAAGGGAAGGAAACAAGAAAATCCAGTGATTCTTTCCTCCAACCCAGAATTAAAGGTGGCTAAGGGGATCAGAACACCCCTCCCAGCCTCAAACGGAACCTCTTTGTGTCCTTCCATGGTTTTTGAGAGTTCAGTTACAAAGATGGAATGTGGCTGTTTGGGGGCTATATTGCAGCCTCACCTTTCACCCTCAGCAACCACACTGGGAGACTGTAACCGGAAATGACAGAAGAGAGATTTTCTTTTCATGCACCTTAATATCACCGAGAGGAACCCTGAACTATCACACTAGAGAAAGAGAGGTCAGATGTGTGTGAACTAGAGAAGAAAAAAAGGACTTACACTGAGCCTGGATGTAGGAGCAGCAGGAAGCAAGGAGGAGCACAGTGAGGGCAGCCACAGCAGCCTTCATGTTTCTGCTGGGTAGGGAGGAGCTGCAGGAGCAAGGCAAGAGCAGGGAGCCTTTCAGGCAGACTGGTGCTGAATCCCATCCCTTCCACTGCTTTTATATAGTAGTTGTTGGGTAGGCTTTGTGTTTCAAAGAAAAAAAGGAGCCTTGCATCATCCCAGGGAAGTGATGACATAGTCACCCAAATTATGCTGAACTGAGCAATCAGCAGGAGCAGCAAGGGGAAGTTGGAAAGCTGTGATCTGTGACTTTCAGATTGCACTTCTTTTCTCAGACTGGGGCAGCAGGACATAAGAACATAAGAAGTTCCATATTGTGCCAGACCAGTAATCTATCTAGCTCAGTATTGTCTCCAACAGTCATTCTCTACTGCACCATGACAACAGGGTGGGGGATAAAAAATGGGTCCATTTCTGCACAGTCCATCACCACCAGCTTGACACTCTCATGCTCAGAACAGTACATCATTCTGTCCTCACATCCTGTCCTCACATCCTGTCAATGGTCCCTATTTGAAGGTGAGGGTCTGTAGTGTACAAGCCAGTATTCTACTCTGATCCCATAAGCCACTGGGAACCAGGTTGCAGCCCCTTGACTTCCTCCGCAAGGATCTGTTTCTGAGGTTCTGGCTGCACTATGCCCCACACTTCTTTGTTTATGCACTCACCATTCATGGCTCCACCAAGTCCTGGGACCTCCTGATTAACCTCCTGGACCTTGCAAAGTTGGCCATATACTTGACCAGGAAGGAAGCTCTAACCATTAAGTCCCCAGTGACTGTGGGGCCATCTTCCTGTTCCTCATTCATTCACATCTCCAGGCAGAGTTTCACTGGGATGCATCCACTGGCTCCTTGGATTTTGTCATGGGTGAGCATTGGCCAGTGTGCTCCTCTTGGTGCCCCCTCTTGGCACACTTATGATGAAACTTTGTCCCCCACTCCTTTCTCTGTTTTGTTTTGTGTTTTTTTTTTCATTAGTTGCCCCAGTGAATCAATTGTTATGCATTTGGTTGCCTCAGTGGGCTTAGGCTCACTGTTACCCTACTGCATAACAGATATGCTGCCTCCAACAGTGGCAGAAATGGATGATCCAGATGGAAAGCATTGAACTGGATATACCTAGAGTGATCTGCGCAACAGTACATCTACCCTCACTGGTTTAGAATTACCTAAGGAAACATCTCCAACCTTTATGTTCAACAGCTATTAATAGATCTGTCATCCACGATGATAGTTACTAGTAACTCCTAGCCAGTAATTCCTAGCCAGTAACTCCTACTGCAGGAGGGTTCCACAGGAAAGATTGGATTTTGACAAAAGAGGGACTAGGAGGGAGCAGCAATAATTAACCTGGATCCTCTGGTCCCAGGTGAAGAATTTTCTCCAAGAAACTGCAGAAATGTTGACAGATAAGATCCACCCCTTCCCCTTCATCCTTGTATGGGACGTGGAGACTCCAGTGATATTCAGAGCCAGTACAAAGGGAGGAGGCCAGACACCATTAACGGAACATCTTCCATCTGTAATATGTCCCCAGGGTGATTGTAAAATGGGGACCAAATGGGGAGTCAGGAGCCTCTGAAGGAGAAGCAGTGCTTTCACAGTGTTCACAGTGTGGTCACAGTGTTCATTACAGTATAAACAATTCCACACACCTCTAACAGAGGCATCTTGAGACCCCAGTTAACTTATAGAAGGGACCATGCTGAGACTCAAATGAACATATAGTGCAGCAGCATCCCTGCCCCAACCCCAAGCCCTCTAATGAGACAGAGTGCAAAGGAGGTTGAGCCTCTGCTTATGCATGGGGATCTGAGGCTGGGCGGGAGTAAGTTTCTTGCTCAAGGTCACCCATGGTGTCAGTGGCAGAGCCAAGGGTAGATCTAAGTTACCCAAATCCTTAGTCTGTGCTCTGACCCCAATACCACCCTTCTTCTCATCACAGTGCAGCACAGGACCCCAACTGGGACAGGCTCAAGCACACTCAGAGAAGGAGCTACACTGAACATTCCTTATTCCACAGTTCTTCTGAAATGAACCAAGAAGTCCTAAAGCCAAAGGAAGAAGGTAAGGGGGAACTGCATCTAGAACAGAAATTAAGTGAACATGCCACTGAGTAGCCATGTTAGCTGCTCTTTTAGCACCAGGAGCAGGCTGGGAGGGGAAAGCCATAATTGCTGAGCTTGGAAATGTCATGGGAGATCCTGAACCACCAAGCCAGAACAGTCTGCAGTTCTGGGCTGGGGTGGAAGGTACAAATTTGTCATGTGCCAGTATTAAACATGGAACTCTGGACTAGCTATGAGGAGGGGTGTCAGATAGATACGCAGTGGTCGTATCCCCGGAGGCTCACTTGTTACACATTCACCCACTTGTGTGCTTCTCTTTTCAGGGTGCTGTGAGATCCCATCTTCCCCTTTCCCTGAGTCTATGCATCACAGCCAGCTGCAGGTGGAAGGGACTGCTCTTGGGAACTCAGCCTGGCCCCATACTCTCACCCTTGACCTGGGAGCTGTCCCTGGAGATGGCTGAGAAAGGCAGCAGATTACCCTTTCCCTCCCCTACAGAGTGTGGGTTGTGCCACTGGGCTGACTCAAATGCTGACATCTATGGGCAGAAGTGCTAGAAGGGCAGACTGTGTGTGCATGAGAACTTCCTGGTGAGTAAACTCCTCTGCCCTAGTTTCAGCAGCTCTTGCAAGGGACAGGGTTGATCTGTCTGCTTTAAAATGCCCCGCTGAGGGACTCCCTATCACCCTGCTGTGAGTGCACTGTCAAGTGAAATATGGCCTCAATTGACATCAAAAGCAAAGCTCCCTGAGCACCAGGATATCACCCTTTGTCAAGTTTGATGTTCTAAGAACCCATCAATAGACCTTGGTGTTTTCAGCATTTAGATGCTCACAGACATCAGAATCCCTGTCTTAGCATCACTCAGTTTAGCTAGATAGGTCCCACCCTTTCTATCCTGTCCAAATTAATCTAGCTGTCCCCTTGAGTGACTTTGGTTGCTGTTCTCTGGTATATCCAAGTTTGTCTAATAGGTCCAGCCATTGTGGCTAGATTTCCAGACCTGAATGCTCCATACATCTTTAGCTTTAGCATGACTTCTGCAGAGGAGCGGATATCTTATTTTCACTTTGTCCCTTTGTAGCTTTCGTATCTCCCAGCCCTGTGAACTCTGCCTTGTATATACAGACCAAAATCATCGTGGCTTTTTGTGTTGTAGACTCATGCACATCAAATCTGCTGTTCACTGCAGTCCTGGGCCTCCTCTGGCATTATCAGTTGTCATCATCAGTGGCACTGTGCATGAGCCCTTCTCATGAGTGTCTAGTTGCAGTTGTGTGTTTTTGGAAATATGCAATAGTAACAAACTTGTCATACTTCATGGTTAATAGCTGTAATTTAGAAGAACCTGATCTGTTCCTGTCCCTTCTGATCTCCTGGAATTTTTACTCATTCATTCTGTTGCCCATTCCCCTTATCCTTTGCCTGCAGTAATTCAGCTAATTTTTTGCATCCAAGCCAAACTGAATGCATGTTTTTTTTTTAGTGGTTAGGTACTAAACCAAAGGTCTTGTGGCAATCAGTTAGCCACCACATTCCATGCCTTCCCTTTCTATACCAAAAGCAGGTAACCATAGTGATTCACTCTTTAGAGACAGTCTCTGCTAATTGCTTGTGATTGCACAATTATCCTCAAGATGTTTCTATTTCATGTTTGTCCTCTTGCATAGCAAGAATGAGATTTAACACTATGTTAACTGTCAATTTCACTCTTGTTCCCCTTTTCTATGAAGATCAGAACAACATTTGTTCTTATGGGAACATCAGATAAAGCCAGCTGGGCAGAACTATTCATAATTAATGATTAAGTGGCTCTCAGTTCATTAGTGAATCCCATGGAATGCATTGTCCCCAGGCCTGCCCACTTTCATAATCAGAAATTCTCCAAGGTTTCTCCTCTGGCATTATTGCATTGATAAGTATCATTATAATTTACTTATCATTGTCATAACTTATCCTTTCTTGACTCTCCAAACCACTACCCTTTGTGCTGCTTGTCAAGTACAGCGATGGGATTTTCAAGGAGTCTAACTTCATTGGGAATTAAGTGCCTAACACATTGAGTTAATTTGAGCCCCAAGAGCTCAGTTATTTTGGGATATTAATCTCTTCCTCCTTAAGGATGAAGAGGTGAGATTATGGCAACCTTGTGAACACACTGACACTTGTATATTGTAGTATCGTGCCAGTGGGCTGGTCCAGAGAGGGATGGATGATGAGGGATTTCATGGGTTCCTCAGATATGAGTTAGAGAGAGCTGCTCAGAAGGTGGGGCTTTGAGGTGCTGTATTGTTGTTACTAGTATATTATAACACAACCTTGTAGCAACAAGGAACTGGGTAACCACAGAGCTCTGTACTGAAATAATGTAGTAAAGGATCCCTGTAAGAGACAAGGAATGACAGGGAGAGATGCCATACACCAGATGCATGAGCCATGCAAGGGTAGCACAACTGTTGGAGGGTTATGCGGGGAGATAAGCTAGATAGTGGGACATGGGAAGAGTAGGAAGGAAGAGGAGGAGGAGTGGGAAAGGTAAGCAGGATGGCTAAAGGAAGGAATCTGGAGGGGGTTGTAGCAAACAGCCAAACACCACAAGAGAAGAAGTGACAGTAGAACTGAAAGAAAAATAACCTATACATATTTTTTTTCCCATTGGAAAATACCAGTGTGATAACACTAATATTGTGGGAATAGACCAATTATGTGACTCAATAATCACACATTTTGTGGGAATATGCTGAAGTTTCAATGGGAAATGAATTAATCATTTTTGTTTAACTCTGTTGTTTTGACATATGATAGGTCACAAAATGACATAGTCTGTAAATATGTCATTTAGACTATCATATCATATCAGACCGTTTCATTTCACAAGCAATTTAATTGTTAGATTTGGATTCTTTGTCTCCATTCGAGGCAAAATGAAAAGTTGGTACCTATAGCTCCTTGTGGAAGGAAGTTTCCGTCTGGTGCCCTGTGTGATGTTCCAATTCTGACATGCTCTATGCCACAAAGGATCCTCTTACCTAGCGGAA